GTTGCCTAAAAGTTACGTCTATGCAGGTTGACGAATAAGCATTAAGAGGTGGCCAACATTCAGATATTAAAGACGTAGAAATTCAATTTAACTAGCACGGTCTATCTGAGGGAAGTTGCAGAGATGGCAGCAAACTGCTGGAGACCAGGGAATAATGAAAGAGTTCCATAACACAAAATGCCTTCAAAAAAAAACCTTTGTTGGGAGTTTAGGAATCTAGGCCGAGTGAAACTGAAATAAGTAGGAAGATTATCGAATTTTTGCCTGGCAGTATCTACAGTGTGTTCTACAGTTTTTAGTTTTATTCCTTGACAAGGTCATCAACTTTAAACCTCTGAGGCAAAAGTAAGTTTTTCTTTACAAAGATACTAATACATTGGACGGACGGTAGATTATCTGTTGTTTCTTGACTATACAATGTGGTTTTTTCCGATTATATTCTATCAGTAAGCTGTTATTTTTTCCATACTTTTTCAATCGTTTTTCCAGCTGTTAAGAACTTATGAGCAAAACTTTTTTCGAGTTTCTGGTGAAGCTTCTTTCGTTACTTCAATTTCGCCTACTAAGTCTACTCCCTGTATAGATCTGGAAACGTGATTTCCGGAAAGGTTTTTTTTACAGAAAAAAGGTTTACAGATTTCATGTGGGCACTCTCTACCGGCATCAGAAGGAGATATGGACATTATAAAGTATTTCTAAATATCAGGCAATGCAATGAGACGCATTTGTTAGCTGTAGAAGTGCAAAGTTTCTCGATGCATAATCAGTTTTCTTATAGTGAGAATGATTAGGGTGGCTGTTAAGTTCATAGAAGAAGTACATCAGTTTGAACCGATCTTCAACACAAAAAAAAATTTTTTTCCTCACAGTAAAGTCAATGAGCATTGTGAAACAGCTTTTTTTGAAAATGCATCCGCATTCGCCCAATAATGTTACATTGGTATTTCGATGTTCCGCAGAGTTCGTCTAAACTTTAGTAGTGCTTTAAAAATCGTAGCGTCATCAGCATTTTATTCATATCATACATGTATAAAGATTTATTGCCATTCTGTTGTCAAAAAATAGAAGGAGAATAGAATGCACAACAAAAGCATATAGGCCAAAAAAATTATTATCGCTCTGTATAGACAAATTAAAGTCACAAACTGGATTCGCCACGAACAATTTTTTCTTTGGCAGCATTCCACTGTACTTTAATTCCATTGTTCGGGTGATGATCAAAGTGCTTGCAGTTTCCCAAAAGTTTCCGGTCTTTAACATATTACATTTTCCATTGCTGATGTTCATATAAAGTAAATTATCTGCTAACAACCACTCTTGCTCTTTTTTCTAAGTTTTCTTTCTGCTTTTAGTATCGGATGATTTTGACGAAGTTGAGTTCCAAAGTTCTCTCTTTCTCGGGGTTCTAAAGTTGAAAGATGAAAGTGTTCGAACTTGAAAACATCTTTTCTAAATTGTGCTGACTGTGCGGTTGCTAAATCGATACAGCTTGACGTGTGTTTCATTGTTTTTCATTTTAAATGGATTCTGAAAAAATCTGAAAAATTTATTTTTTTTTTCAAGATTTCATATGTGCATTTAAACATTTGTTGGTCGAAAATAGTCATCCGTTGCTCTTCGTAATTATCAATATAGTAAAACTGCTAAATTCTTTTATATTCGCAGGACATTCTATAAACATTTGCTGCTGACCTTTAGCCTTTTAGAGTTCAGCTGTTAATTTGATGAATAAGTCTTGGTATCTGTGTGAGGAGCAGTGTTGGAAAGGGATAGGCAACGAACCATATAAAAACTGGCAAAAGCTCTCTCGTTGTACCATTTTGCATAAGGGCATAGAGTGGAATATGTTAATTTAATAAATCGTTACGTATCACATGGTTTTTCGTCATCTGCGAAGAGAAAGGTGTAAGCAGCGCTCTCTGATTCATAGTTGAACAAAAGATTGTTAGTTAACAAAATCTGATTTTTGGTATTTTGCTTAGGATCGTTCTTTCAACTGCTTTTGGTTGTCTTTATATTGTCTGCTATTACTGCCCATTTTGCAGCGTTCTCTTAAAACAGTACCTCTTTTTGAGGTAGGAGAATAGATGACCAGTCGGCGGATACTGGCAGAAAGTAACATGACAATAGCTCATTCTTTTGGAGTTTCAAATAGGAACTTGAAAATGGGACTGGACTGTGGCCATTCATTACAGAATGATGTACTCTTTTGCCGCGATAATATTTGAGATCGTATTGATGCTTAGGTAATGGAATTCCTTAGAAAAGTGACAGCTTAGACGTTGTGATGAGAAGCCGTTTAGTATTGTAGTTGTTTTTCAGATTTTCCTCCGCGGCGTCATCATTGATTTCAGTAGTTGAAGAATGACTTTTCCGGCGTTTGAGAATGGAGTAATTCCATGACAACATTCTTTGGGGGTTCTTCAAATTGAAGCGTTCGATTTTTTGAAGGGATGGAGTTTTGGATCTGTCTGTTGAGTGGAAGAAGATAATAACTGACGATGTTGGTTACATTACGAATTTTTTCTTATTGTTAGTTACAAGATTTTTTTGACAGACCTATTTATGGTAGTAAAAATTATGTATCACTCACTGTTTCGTGTATGTTGATATGTATATTTGCATAGCGTTTTTTAGCGTAAAGTATACTTTTTTTGTCTATAAAACTCTTCTATGAAGAACATATTCAGGGCTTTTTAATGACGCTTTTTTCATCTGTATTATTCAAATAAGAATTTGTGTTTTTGTTCTCTTATTGTTTTAAGGATGTGATTTTTGATTTTGTCTTAATATTTTATCAGTCCTTTTACAGCTGTGGTTGGCTAAAATTCTATGTTGTGAAGGAGTCAGTTTTGCCATAATTAGCTCAAGTTTTTCTGGAAATCTAGACTCCATCCTAAGCCCAGTTTGGGGAATTCCTAATTCACTTCTTTTATTCTATTTAATCATTATTTTTAGGCAAAAAAATTAGTTTTTCTCGTGTATAGTTTCATTTTTTGAATTCGTTTTTAAGGCTGCACAAAGTGATCAGTGGTTCTCAGAGACATTAATGTTTAGGTATGTTCAGGTGTCAAAAAAAGAAACGAGAGATTTTATTATTATTTTCACGGCTTTGAAAATAATTTTTATAGCATAATTTATATGATGCGTATTAATGTTAGGTGGAGACAGCTTTTAAGATTTATTGCTATTGTTGTTTTATTCATTTATTTATCTGTTTATTTGTTTATATATTTAGTTTTTTTGGCCTTCTCTTTTGGCTCCTTTAATGCTTAGAAAGAAAGTTGGTGCGTAACATCAGCAGTATGATATTACAAAGAAAGTTCTTCAGTTGCCTCGCCTCATGCAACTGATTGATTGAAACATATTGCTGAAAGCACTATGGACTTGGGAATAAAACCATTTGGGTGATCTGTTCAATCAGCGGATTAAAAACACATTTATGTCTTTTTTTTTCTAGACGCAATGTATACGAATAATTTACTTGCTAAAAAATTTTTTGTGAGTACATTATCCATAATGGAAAAAAAAATAAAGACAAAATTGGTTGATATAATGGACTGTTAAGCTAAGATAAAGGAGCTGTTACATTTGCTGTGTTAGATTTGTTTTCTGTGGATCAGTTGTTTCAATTTACTGACAGCAATAGTGTGTCGCGTACGTTTTTTGTGATATGATGAGAAGAAACTGTGTCAGCATTCCTCTTGGATACATAGCTTTTGTTGAATTCATTGGTTGTTGCAGATGTTTTTTTTCTTATACTTTCTTATGTTTAAGACAAAAAAGATAAAGCGATCGATGGCAGATGAGCTGAAAACATCGCAGTCGTTTCAAGAGTATATTAAGTTTGGAAAATTTTTTGCTTCACGATTAGTTAGTCGATTTTCGTTTCTTTTGCTTTCGGTTCTCGTTTGTTTTAAGTTAATTCATACTTGATTTTTATTACCCTTGAATTATACACATTAAGAGTACAGTAGATCCTGTCTTTGAAGGCTAGAAGTGTCAAAATAAGATTTCATGAGCTGATTTCATTGATTTTCATTTCTTTTTTTGGTTTTCTTGTGAGATCTTGAGTGCTTAGGGAGTCTTCAGTAGTATCTAAGTTGCAAATTTTTTTCGTTTCTTTTTTTTTTTCTTGATCAGTTCTTATGCAATAATTGCAATGAAAGGTAGCGGAACTTCAGGTACAGGCAGTGGTTCAAGCAAGATTAGGTCGCGAACAATTTGTATCTTTACCATGCAGACAGTCTACGGATCCTGCTGATTGGTTTAACATTCGTATCGATGAATTGGGTGAGGTAGCTGCGCAGTTGCGGTCAAATATAACACGGTCTCAAACTTCTTTTATTTGTTTCAAATGCTGAAATGTACGTCGAATTTGCAATAAATACATACTTTTTGAGACGGTCTATTTCACTTGGACAGAAATTGGTTTCATTGGGAGCACTGAGAAATAGTTATTTTAATGTTGACATAAGGTGTCTAGTATTTCCTCTGCTTCCTTTTTGCAGATATCCACCACTTGGGCCCACATTAGCTTTGGATTTTTTGTTGCAAACAAAGGAAGGCGGTGTTCTACCGCTGGAAACTTGGTATTCTTTGAAGTCTAAAATCCTCGTATATTTCAATATTTATAACCAGTGATCTCTAAAAAACTGAAGGGGAAGAGAAATTAAGATTTTTGGAAGGAATACGTAACAAAATTTATTATGCATTGGAAAGACGTTAGTATTAAAAAAAAAAATAGCTGTTTATCTTTGCACGTTTAGGTGCATCGGTTATGAGCCTTCAGAAATTGGTGCTGGTCGTTATATGCGCACTGAGTTATATCAACAGTTGAGTGTTGTGTTGAAATCTGTCATTGCAGCTGCCCGTATAACTCCTTCATATAGATATTTTGTTCGGAAACAGGGCTCCGAATCATATGTTATTTTGTATAGAGTGAGTTTGTTTGTCTTTTGCGCAGCCAATTTGTTTTTATATAATTTGAATTAGTTTGGTGCAAAATTCCTTGAAGGTGAGCGAAACCCCAATAAAACTGGATTACGGTGAAGATCAAAAAAAAGTGCGTATAGCTACAATTGCTTCCCCATTCGGTAGTCTTTCCGTTGATCTGACTTTTCGAACTAATATGGTCATTGACAGGTATCCTTATGCCGACATTTGTGCATTCAAAGACAAAGTGACAAGTATACTGTTTATTTTCTGCGATCATGTTAAATCATAACTTTGGTTCACGTTCCCTTGTTTTTATTTTTTGAACCAGTCTTATAGTTTCCCCCTGGGTATTATTTTGTTTTCATTCATGTGATAGAGATGTGTTATTCTTTTATCGCGAGAGAAGCGTGTTGAAGGGACGTTTTTTTGCTACTTGCAGTAATTGTAGCGTCGTTTTTTAGTAGTCATTGAATATAGGTTTTATTAAAGGCCATCTGATGGGCAGACGGATCTTGAAAGTAAGAGGGCTTCAACAAGTTGTCTTCCTGTTATCGACCCGGACGATCTAGATCTTCCTACTCGAATACCCTTTGGCCCTGTTCCCACTTCTGGAAATTATATTGCAGCGAGTCCAGATTCTGGTGCATTTACTTGCTTTAGTACGAGCCCCCTAAGCCAGGCAAGCAGCTCATCTGTAGTAACGTCTTGACTTTCCTTAACAGCTTTTCTAACGTGCAGTAAAATGATTCGAATAAAAAATCACTTCTAGAACGAGTTCTCCATGGCTTCTAGTCCTCGAGGAATACCGATTCCCTCTAGCCCTCGTAGTTCAACTCATTTTCGAATTGGTGTTTCTCCAGCGTCTTCTAATGAATCCTTCGCTCGTCGAGGCAGTGAAGAGTTATTATTTGGTAAGTTTGGTCAACTGAGCAGCACCAAAAATTTTACTGAGTTTCAGCGGGGGTTTTCACTTGGACCAGGAAATATTTTAACATTTTTTTTGGCTGAAAAGCTGTTACATTCTTCAGGTATATAATCGTGAACCCTTTTTTGGATTAACATGTCTACTTCTTTGAGCTATAACATTGCTTTTTTTGGATTGGGTTATACCAAAAACGTTTTTTTTGAACTGCAAATTTAATTCTGTTTTATATGGCCAGGTTTCTTTAGGGCCATACAGTCCTGGTCAGCCGAGCTGCAGTTTACCTGAGAGGACACTCGATCGTAGGGTAAGTATTTGTGCGTTTTAAATTGAGGTTTAACAATTCGGATTGGGTTTTTCAAGTGTTTAATTTGTCCTTGGCTCTTATCGTTAGTCACATAATGGGTTGCTTGGAGTGTCTAGCAAGATAGTGTCGTTCTTTTTAGTAGATTTGGTTGTGAAGGTGTTTTAGGTCGTTTTGCTCTATTTTTCGGTGTTGGAGTTTTCTTTTTGCGAAATTCTACTCTTTAAGATCACAGTGGACGTCATTACTTGATATGGTAACCCGGGAACAAAATGATGAAAGATTTTTCAAAAGTTTAAACAGTTGTATTGATTTAGCATTTAACAGACATCTTATGTAATTGAGTCTTTGGAGGACAGTGTAAGTACGCCTGTATAGTGAAACTTAATGCCAGTTTTTTATAATTGCAATCTTGCTTTGCATTATGTTATGTAGGTGAATCTATGATATTGTAGGCATGTGTAATAGTCGCGCCACCTGGTATTTTTGGAGTTAGGCTAGGGCTTGTTTCAAAATGGTGGGGATGGAAAGAGGAGGAAAGAGAAGTCTACTAGAGAGGTTCGTCTTTCTGTTGTGGTTTGGGTAGGGTAGCTTTTGTGAAGTACTAAAGTTTGCATATGGAAGCGGACGTAGGATGGGCCAAGAATGATTTTGGTTGGAGTCGGTAGGAGTTTACCCTTTTTTGGCTTTTTTTGCGAGTTTGCAGAACTAACTTAATATACTATCATTCAAAATTATTTTGTCTTATGGAAGGCTTTGTTGTTGTTCAAAGCAAAAAGGAAAGGACATTTGTTAATTATGAAGGACTCGACTCTAGCTTAAGAGTGTAGGCCTAGGTAATAATTGTTCTTTGAAAATATTTTTTCTACAGAGTGCTCTGCAAATTTAAAAAAGGGACAGAGAATAATTATTACGTAAGTAGACGCTATATAAGAAGCTCTCCAGTAAATTAATATTAGTATGGTAGTGGGAATGCAAAGTGTTTAGTTCTTGTATTGTAAAAACTGTTTTGCTGGACATTTGAAGTGACCCCTTATGCAGTTGCATGCCGTATTCTGGTTTCAAACGTATTAGGCTTTTAAATGTAGTCTGATTACCAGTCGGTTGCTAAGGGAGTCTTATTTTTAAGCTTCTCACACGTACAAGACAACCGTCTTTTCCGTTTGCCACTCTTCTAAATGCCTCTCCACCGTTCCAGTCTTTAAACAAACAAGTTTTTCGTAACGGCACCGGTACTGAGGTGACTGGGCTATCTTCAGCAGGTTTTATTCCAATAAATGGACTTTTTTAGGCACAGATTTAACAAAGTTTGTTTGGTAATGGATTGTGTGAAATTTACAGGAATAAAATTTTTTGTAGGCCCCTCCACTGCTGTTGGTTTAGCAGATGTCGTTGAAGAGGAATCAGTCCCGAACTTACGGAAGTCTTCGACCGCTCCGGTCCCAGTTAGTTTACTGGGAAATCTTCAAGTAAAACAATACGGCCCCAAGCAGAAACGGACTGAAGATGATTCAAGTGACGATGAAGATGTTGTATTTCCGATGACGGATATTTTTGGGAGGGTAAGAGTGATTAGTTTGTTTGATATAATGAGTAGTGAACTGACGATTAGTTTTTGCAAAATGCATACAGTTTTTCTTACAGTTTTTCCGAATTAAAATTGTTTTTGAAACACCATAGTTTTTTCATTATTGCTTTAAAACCATGTTAAAACATAAATTGTAAGGAATTCTAGTTGTTCTTTGAGGTTTTTTGGAAAGTGGTAAAAATTTTCGAAGTAGCATAAGTAGTTTTAACTCCTCAACATTAGAAATTTCTCTCGCTCGTGGTCTTCTGGTAGTTTCTGGTTACTTTTTGCTAATTCGCCTATTCACTTCCTATTGCCACTGTTTTTTATTTTGCTGCTCGACCTTCAGGTAAAGGCTGTTTGTGCGAAGGTGGTAAGAAGTAGATAAAGCAAATAAGTCGTTTTAATATTTTAAGTCACTGATTTCCAATAAACGGTAGTGGTTGCTTCTGCTCATTAATTGCATTTTGTTGAAACTAACTGAACTGTTGGAAAAATTGGGAAGATTAGTTCATCGAGAGTGTAGGGAAGAAGCGGTCGCAAAATCTCTGTCTTAAAGAAAGACGATGGACCAAAAAAACTTGGAGGTTTTGTTGTAGATTTTTAAGGGAATTAAACGTTTAGGTCGCGTATCAGACTTGAGGTTTGAAAAGTAATTTTCTTCACTGCACTTCTTTCCAATGGCTGCTGTGATATATAATGACATATTTAACTTGGAAATAACTTTGCTTTGACGTTATTTCAACTCGTCGACCGAATATGACTCAAATTCACATTTCTTTGGCCGCTTTCTTCAGACTGCTGACCATTATCTTATATCAGAAACGTGGGTATGAAATACCTTTTAAATCTTTATTTAGGGTGTATTTGGGACTGAGGAGAACCCGTCAGCAGGTCCGGTAGAACTGATCCAACAGTGTAAGATAGCCAATTTACACCAATTAAATTTTTTGCACGAGAACAGCGATACTGACGTCAATGCAGTCGTTGATACGGTTAGAGAGTCATGTTGTTTCTCCTCATTCAATTTTAAAAAATAGATTAAAATTGCACTCTTGACTCATAAAACTCATATATTATTTTTTGATACTAATACACAGCCTGAAGTTTGCTCAGTTGCTAAATAATTACATCAGACTTTATAATGTATTTGCACAGGTAACTTACAAGTTTGGGAGTTCCAATTTTTTCAGTTTAATACGATGCCTTTTTCAGCTGGCGGAGTTCGAAAACAATTCGAAGATTTTTGATTCTTTTGTTTCTGAACTTAGTGCGGATCGTGAAGACAGCTACTAATTCCATCTAACTTTACCCCTGTATTGTGATTTCTGGGAACAGTGGTTACAGCGCTCTTGGCCTTTCAGTTTTCTGGTGCTAAATATCGAGATATTGACATGTTAACTTTCAAATGCTTGTATTGCAGATATTTTGTTAATTGTTGTTGTCCGGTAATTTCATTACTTGCTAATGATGAATGCTTGCCATAAATATATGCGTTTAATACATAAATCTGGGTAATGTATTTCGTGCCTTATTTTCTTCATGAATTTCTCCAAATACTGTTGTGTGGCACCTCTGAGTTGTTCATTTGCGCTTCTTGTGGTTTTTTTCTGACCACACTTATTTCAAAAGCGGATATGGTCGCTAAGATAGAGGTATCACAGGTCGCTCCTGACTCTTGCCGTTCTCTGCATCGCTCTGGAACTGCTGGACCCATCCGGCGTTGCAGTATGGGCGTTGAAGGGAAGTAACTTTTGTTGTCTAGGAGCTGTTAAGCCGTAGTTCTTGCTGGGCGCTCTTGCTTTTTATTTAGTTTACAGCAAAAATTTAGTAAAGTTTTTGGAACAAGTGTTGCTGTCTTTGCTCTCCACTTCAAGCCACCATTAATTGTACATTTCTCACTGTTGAGTAACGAGCCCCGTGTGACTCTCACTTTAACTCGTTACTTGGGCTAGACCATTTCTGGGACGTTAAAGCACCCGACTTAAGTCACTGGTACAGTATTTGGTAACTGCTTGGGCTTAACAAAAATAGTTGCTGTAAGGTTCAGTAATCCTACATATACTGCAGTTCTTGCCATTCTGAAAAAAACAATAATTCACTCCTCTCGGTAAGAAACAACCCAGACCTGAAGTTTGAAAGGCTTAAATGACCACTCAAAACAATCAGGGATGCGGAATACCTCCCATAAGAGCAGGAACTTAGATCATTGTGCCCAGCGTTAAAGAGGAATTTATTTTGTGAGCCCACCTAAGAGTAGCGAGTTCGACGGTAAAAACTGCCTCAACAAGCAATAAAATTTCTGCTAGATTAGCTCGCCAGGTGTACATCCATTAAATATTGAAAACAGAGAAATGATTTAATGCAAGTGGGCACACTTGCACTAACTTATCGTATCATTCTGCGATAAAATAAAAACACAACAGCCCCGAAAGACATAGATGTAATCAACAGTAAAGTGCTCTGGTGCACTTCAAATC